AGCCGCGGGGCTCGTGTTTCTCGTCGTTTCCCGTGTCCGGGCCGCGGCTTGAACCGTGGACCTGCTCCCGGTGGTCCTCGCTGCTCCTCGGACGGTGCCCGGGCGGGGGGGGTCCGGCCGGAAGGCGGGGCCGCCCTGGTCACGCCGTCGTTCACCCACTGGCCGTGTCACCTCGGGCGACGTGTCGCCTGTTGCCTCACCTGTACAGTGAAGGTCCCACGAGGTTATTTCGTGTGGGAAGCGACCCAGCCCTGTCCCCGGGACCCGGAGCCCGTGGCGCCCCGCAGCCGCCGCAGGGCCCCCGGGGTCCGGGTGGGGGGTAGTGTCCCAGCGACCCCTGTCCCCCGTGTGTCCGCCCACCTGCTCCCCTGGACAAACCTGACTTCCCATTGGCCGCCCCCGCCGCGTCCCCGCCCCCGGGCTCCTGGTGTCGCGGGGGGTCCCTTCTTCCCAGGCTTCCTCTGGTTTCCCGCTACGGGCTGGGAGGGCTCCCCCGGCCTCCGAGGGGCCGCGGCAGCAGCAGGTGTGGCCGGTGGGGGGCCGCTTGGCCCCGAGATGCCCGCACAACCCGGGTCTCACCGGGCGCGGCCCGCGCCGCCCACCTTCCCTCCGCACCTCGCCCGCCCCGCCCCAGGTTCACAGCCCCGAGGGCGCCGGAGGCCGGCGGGACGGGGCTGAGCCCCCACCCCGTCTGCTCCCTGCTGGGCCCCTTTCCCCTTCCTCGCTGGGCGCTACTCTCCAGGAGCCGGCCCCGCCCTTGCCCACCCCGCAGGCACGGGCCCAAGGACAGGTTTGAAAGGGTAGAGGCCCTTTTTCACAGCTGCGTAGGGTTCCACCGTGTGCACGTCCCGCTGATTTTTGTCCACGCACCTGCCGGTGGGACTTGGGCGGCTTCCAGATCTTAGCTATTATTGTAAACTGCGCTGCTGTGAGCACAGGGGTGCATATATTCTTTCTGATTGGTGTTTCCGGTTTCTTAGGATATATTCCTCCAAGTGGTGTCACTGGGTCAAACGGCAGCTCCATTTTTAATTTTTTGAGGAGCCTCCACACTGTTTTCCGTAGAGGCTGCCCCAGTCTGCATTCCCACCAGCAGTGCCCTAGGGCTCCCCTTTCTCCACCCCTGGCCACCAGGAGTCAGTTTGTTGATTTGTTGATGGAGCCATTCTGACAGGTGTGAGGTGATGCCTCAGTGTGGTTTTAATTTGCGTCTCTCTGATGATTAGCCACGTTGAGCATTTTCTCATGTGTCTCTTGGCCGTCTGTGTGTCCTCTTTGGAGAAGTGTCTATTCAGGTCCATTGCCCATTTTTAAATTGGATTGTTGGTCTTTTGTTGAGTTGTATGAGTTCTTTATATGTTTTGGAAACTAACCCCTTGTCAGATGTACCATTGGCAAATATGTTCTCCCAGACAGTGGGCTCCCTTTTCATTTTGAATTTAAAAAGAAAATCTCTCCCTATCTGGTGAATTGGGGCAGATTTCACTAGTAAGAATATCAGGGTGTCCCCCAAAAATGTGTACACACTCTGAATAATTAATTCCAATGGGCTAAATCTGAAAAGAAAGAAACATCAATTGAGCTATCAGCTGTTAAGTTATATATACATTTTTGAGGGACACTCTTTATATTGCCCCTTAACATTCCCAAGTTGGAAGGGAGCAGGTTCTGATTTAGGCTGATTTGCTATCCCTACCATTTATAAAGAAGCTTTACTCCAAGGGAGAGGGCAAGTTAACTGAGGAGGGTTAAGAACAGATAAAGTAGCCCCAGTATCTACAAGGGCCTGAGTAATTTCCCTTTTTACAGTGATTTCAGTTTTTCCTAAAGTATTAATAAAGAGAAGGGGAAATAACGTCTCATCGTCCCTGGAACAACCCTATGCTTCCGTTTATTTTTCTAAATCCCATTTTAGCTTTCTGCAACCCTTCTTAAGGTGCCCTGGCTTCCTACAGTAAAAACGGACTCCTTGACCTAGCTGGTTTGGCTCAGTGGTTAGAGTGTTGGCCCTTGGACTGAGGGGTCACAGGTTCAATTCTGGTCAAGGGCATGTATTTCTGTTGCAGGCTTGATCCCCGGCCCCCATCTGGGCGCATGTGGAAGCAACCAATGCATGTGTCTCTCTCACACTGATGTCTCTTTCTCTCTCCCCCCATTTTCACTCTCATTGGAATAGGTCAGAATGTCCAGGATTTAACAATAAATTAGTTCTGTAAATACTTCTTTTAGTGTGTTAGAGGCAGTGGCTCATGCAGCTGGTTTCTCTTTGCTTTCAGTGAGGTGATTGCAGAGGATTCCATATTATGTCTCCAGAAAGCCCTGAGTCACCTTCGGGAAATATGGGAATTAATTGGGATTCCCGAGGACCAGCGGTTGCAAAGAACTCAAGTTGTACATAAGCATATCAAGGTGAGTTTTGTGGTGGTGCCTTTGCAGGGGAACGTGGGTAACGATGAGGGTGTCTCGTCTGAAGTGGTGTATCAGAGCAATGCTGAGGTAGCACAGGCTGAACTGCTTTCTAAGTCCTTACTAAAAATTTGAAATTATTGCTCTTGGTGTTATTTGTTGGTTTGAGCTTTTTTTCCCCCGTTGGTTCCAAACTTTTAGGGGACTGTTTTCTCTCCTTTAGGATCTCCTGGATATGATGATTGCTGAAGAGGAAAACCTGAAGGAAAGGCTCATCAAAAGCATAGCCAACTGTCAAAAAGAGTTGGCTGTCCTGTGCAGCGAGCTGCATGTTGAGCCAATTCAGGTAGATGGCGTGCTGGACTCCTGTTTGGGTCTGAGATTTAGGAAGGAGCTTTGTCTTGGGGTTACAGTGGAAGGTTTCTGTGTCAGGGTGGTCCTGGACATGAAGAGTGGGGTAAATGTGTTGCCTCGTCAGCCAGTTCCAGCAGTCATAGAGTTGCCCTGTTAAGAACTGAAGCAGCTAATTTTTTAAAATGTTTTTATTGATTTCAGAGAAAGGAAGGGAGAGAGAGAAACATCAATGATGAGAGACAGTCATTGATCAGCTGGCTGTCTACTGCATGCTCTCTACTGGGGATCCATCCCGCAACCCTGGCATGTCCCCTGACCAGTAATCAAACTGTGACCTCCTGGTTCATGGATTGATGCTCAACCACTGAGCCAGGCTTAAATTTTTTTCTTTTTTTTTTTAAACTTTGTTTATTAAAGCTGGAGACAGTGAAATAAGGAAGGGCTTAGGATAAAAGAAAATAGGAGAGAACCTAGCCAAGGCAGTTTTGGCTCACTGGGAAGCCAGAGGAAAGAGGGCCATGGAGACAGGTTCAGAGGGTTAGCCTTGGATGAGGTGCCACTGCCCATTGCTACCCTGGTTTAAGCCTTGTGGGGACTACTGAGAGTTTAGGAGATGCAGGCCTGACAGGAGAGAAAGGTGTGGGTGTGCTGCTGGGAGGGAGAGCTTGCCAGAGGTGAAGCAGCTAATGGATGTTGCCATGCTTTAATTTAAAACATACTTCTTGCTATCAGTCTGTGGGGCATAGAAAACATTTTTTTTTAACTCTGAGGAAAAGTTAGGCATAGATGATATTGTGCCATGATTGACTTATTTGTAAGTTTAATTAGAAGTCGATCATTTAGCTCGCTTTTGTTGTCCAACTCTTCCTTTGAGGAAATCCAGTTGGAACCTGTAACAATGGTCTATCTGTTGTCTTTTTCAGGAGGAAGGAGAGCCGACCATCTTGCAGCTAGAAAAAGATTTACGCACCCAGGTGGAGATGTTGCTTAAACTGAAGAAGGAGAGAAAGCGCGAACTGAAACTGCTTCAGGAGCAAGATCAAGAACTCTGTGAGGTCCTCTGCGTCCCGCACTATGACGTTGACAGTGACTCTGTCCCCAGTCTAGAGGAGCTGAACCAGTTCAGACAGCACGTGGCCACTTTGAGGGAAACAAAGGTATACTGACTGCATCCATACTTCCTAAAAGTCCGGTTGACTTTCCTGTAGGTGTCTTATAGTCATTCTGTTTTACAGGCATCTCGGCGTGAGGAGTTTGTGAACATAAAGAAACAGATCATACTGTGCATGGAAGATTTAGATCACACCCCAGATACAAGCTTTGAAAGAGATGTGGTGTGTGAAGATGAGGACGCTTTTTGTTTATCTCTGGAGAACATTGCAGCACTACAACAGTTGCTACAGCAGGTAATGTCCACTCGGAATATGGCCTGGGCTCTCATCTCCATAGCACCCAGCAGTTTGAAAAAAGTGACAGTATTTTTTTCCTGCAGTGTTATGTAAGGACCCAATGTAAGCTAAGAGAATGAGAGAGGGTAAAGACAGTATTATATGATAGACAACCTTGATTTTTTTTTTTTTTTTTAAACAAAAAACTTAATTTATATGTAGCCCTAAGAATACGAAGTTGAAATTTTGGATGAAATAATCATTAAATTAGTGCTTAATTGAAAAAAAAAATTTTAATTCAAAATTTGAATCCTAATTCTTGGGGTCTGAGATCCTGCCATAATGACAGCCTTACAGTGTGTGTTCAGAAGGCATGAAAACACACCCCTTCACAGTCTTATTAAAGGTTTGCTTCTGCACATGGGTCCAGGTATTTGTAGGAGGCCGGAGAGCTCGCCACTGTGCTGCCTTTGCTGTAACCATTGTCTCTTCCTGCTGCAGCTGGAAATGCGAAAATCACAAAATGAAGCAGTGTGCGAAGGGCTGCGCGCTCAGATCCGGGAGCTCTGGGACAGGTTGCAAATACCAGAAGAAGAGAGAGAAGCTGTGGCCATGGTTATGACTGGGTCGAAAGCGAAGGTTAAGAAAGCGGTAGGAAACTCATGGGATGCTGGGTCATCATTCTCTACGGGAATTCTTATGTTTGATCTCATGTCTTGACCAACTTCTGCCTTGAGCAAGTCTTTTTTTTTAAAAATATTTTTGGTTAATCCTCAACCAAGGATATTTTTTCCATTGATTTTTTTTTTAGAGAGAGTGGGAGGGAGGGGCAGAGAGAGAGAAACAGAAAGAAACATCAGTGTGAGAGAGACACACCCATTGGTTGCCTCCAGCATGCGCCCCAGTGGGTCTGGGCATCGAACCTGCAACCCAGGTACGTGCCCTTGACCGGGAATCAAACCCTCAACTCTCTGTGCTTGGGTCAACGTTCTAACCACCGAACCACACCAGCCAGGGCGAGCAAGTCTGTTTTACAGGAAGCACCAGAAAAGGTGGCAGTAGCCTGCTCATCTTTTATCCTTTGTGTCCCTTTCTTAGGTTTCTGGCTCTTTTGATAGCATTGTTAGAAAGAGTGTCAACTTACCTCTGTGGTTTTGTGCTGTAATTTTATTAAAAAAGGGAAAATTTTTGCAAAGCTCTGCAAATGTAAAAGTGTAACAAGCACCATTAACAGATAATCTGTGTTTTAGCTGCAGTTAGAAGTGGAGCGTTTGGAAGAACTAAAATTGCAAAACATGAAGAAAGTGATTGAGGCGATCCGTGTGGAGCTGGCCAAGTACTGGGACCAGTGTTTCTACAGCCAGGAGCAGAGACAGGCTTTTGCTGCTTATTATGACGGTGAGTGCAGGAGCGGCTGGCTTTCTGTGGCCTCCATGTGTAAGGAAGTGCAGACGGTCACCAAGAAGCACTTCCTCTGTGGAACTGATATAACTACCTTTCCAAGCCCTTCAGCATAAGTTGTCATCCTATATGAATGAGCATTTGCAAATGCTGCTGGGAAATACGGGGTGTCTTGATTTCTGAAGCAGCAGGTCACGTAGCCTGTAGTTGCGAAGCTCCAGTTTACCTGGCACTTGCTTACCCTGTGCCAGGTGCAGGGTCAAACTCTTAACATCATCTGAATTTCATGTCAAGAGGTGAGGACACAAAGGTGCGTAAGTGTTGAGCAGCTCAAACCAAAGGCCTAGCAGGTAAAGGGCAGAGCTCACGCTTGAACCCATAGAGCCTGACCTCAGAGCCCAACAGAATTCTAGTCTGACCTGAACTGAGTATAAAGAGGCTGTCTACTAAATTCCACATTTGGGACATTTTCTGTGACTCAGCCCATGACTTGGGCAGGGTGGAAACAAAAACTATGAAAGAAACCTAAGAGCAGGTGAGAGATGACACAGAGGTTTGAGAATCAGTCATTTTAGTCCACACCCTAGGCCCTTCCTGTACCTCCCAGCTGATGGTGACAAACGGGGCTTTTATTACCCACAATGTATACTTGTATGAACAAGTAAGGAATGATCTATTGCCATTTTAGGGGGATGAGGGATTAATAAGTTAAGATACTAAACACTAAAGGAATTTTTAAAGGCTACTGGGCTCATATCTTGCAGAGAACTACACAGAAAGTCTGCTCCAGCTCCATGATGCTGAGGTGGTGCGGCTAAGAAACTATTATGAGGTCCACAAGGAACTCTTTGAAGGCGTGCAGAAGTGGGAGGAGAGCTGGAGGCTTTTCTTAGAGTTTGAGGTACTGCCCTAACTTTCCTCTCTTTTCCTTAGACGACGATGAAGTGTTAAGAAAGCATGTCCTCTATAGAGTCTCCTTTTCTCTTTACTGGGTTTCTAATAACCCTGTCTTCATCACTAAGTCTCTGAATTACTGGATTTTTTTATAAGCTTAGCAAATGGCCAAGATTGGTTCTGTACTTTTCTGATGATCTGCCCCAATTTTGAGTGTATACACCTAATTTATGTATATAAATTATATGCTTACCGTTCTGGTATACTGTATACATGATAGAATAACAAAAAACAGAAAAGTTAAGAAGAATTAGTAGCCTAACATACTACATTTTTTAACTTATCCATTTCATGAGGGTTGATTTAATGAGAACCAGATTATATGGAACCCTTAACCTTGCATATTTAAGCTACGTCATCTCAGTAGGCGGGAAGTGAGTGGACAAGTAGAGGTCTCCAACAGACTGAGTGCAGACCTTCCCATGTTCCTCCACAAAGCTCATTTCCTGTAGGTGACATGGAATTTTTTGACATCCGAACCAAGGAAGGGAGCCAGTGACAGACACTGCGTTAGATATTGAAGCCTGTCTGCCTTTTTAGATGACAAAGGAAACCCTGGTTTCCCTGCACCCAGTGGAAGTGCTCATGCCCACCTCCCCTGCCTTAGCACCCTCCACTCCTCACTGCTGAATGCAAAACTCAGTCTCCTCAGTAATGTACACCTGGGTCTGACAGCAAGAAGTCGGCAGACGTTGTTGGTCTTGATTTCCTGTCCCAAGGTTTACTCTCATTAAAATGTATTTTCACAGAGAAAAGCATCAGATCCAAGTCGATTTACAAATCGTGGAGGTAATCTCCTAAAAGAGGAAAAGCAACGTGCCAGGCTCCAGAAAACACTCCCGAAGGTAATACTGTTAAGAGTTTTGGTGCTTCGCTGCAAAGTACCTCACTCTTTGTATGTTCTTTGCTTTCAGTCATTTTATCTCCCACACCTTTGATTTCCGGCTAATCTGACCTTTCCCCTGTGGGTCCCACTCCCTGGAGTCAGCCTTGTGATGCTCTGGGGAAGGAGGAATCATTTTTGGTGGGAAAATCATTTCATTCAGGCTTCACACCAAAGATCTGGAGTAAATAACACGTCCTTATGTCTGGTCTCAGCTGGAAGAGGAGTTGAAGGCCCGGATTGAAATGTGGGAACAGGAACATTCAAAGGCCTTTGTGGTAAATGGGCAGAAATTCATGGAGTATGTGACCGAACAATGGGAGCTGCATCGACTGGAGAAGGAGCGAGCCAAGCAGGAAAGGGTGAGTGAGTCTAGCTGGGGAAGACAGGAGGGGGGTCTGGGAGCGGCCTAGACCCTGCCAGCGCCCAGGCTGTAGAGACTTGGCACCCGAATGCTGGCCCCGTTTTCCTTCCCTGCTATGCCTCACTGTGGCTCCGACTTCCTTGCAGCAACTAAAGAACAGGAAGCAGACGGAGACAGAGATGCTATATGGCAGCGCTCCCAGGACACCCAGCAAGCGGCGGGGAGCAACGCCCACCACCCCTGGGAAAGTGCGCAGGGTAAGCTGCAAGCGCCACAGACGTGGGGGGCGGCCTGTGGAGGCCAGGCCAGGGCTCCTGCCTGCTGTCCTGCCGAGATGGGAAGGGGGTTTTCTAGGCTTCCAGTTGAGTCCACGTGAGAGCAGAACAGTATTTCCCTTCTCTACTCAGACTCACAGCACACAAAAGATGTAACCCCCCACTCCCCAACTCCAAGAGAATGGCTGAGAATAGTAGGTTTACAAAACAGAGGTCACATTGTATGATCTTGGTTCCTGCCTTTTTTTTTTTTTTTTCAATTTAAATATATCTTTATTGATTTCAGAGAGAGGAAGGGAGAGAAAGAGAGAGAGAGGAGGAACATCAATGATGAGAGGGTCGTCATTGATTGAATGGAGCCCGCAGCCCGGGCATGTGCCCTGACCAGGAATTGAGCTGTGATCTCCTGGATCCTAGGTTGATGCTCAACTGCTGAGCCACGCTGGCCGGGCAGTTCCCACCTTTGCCTGTTCTGTATCAGTGGTTGGTTTTTCTTCATAGGATCAAACTTCCTTCAAATATATGCTCGTTATTAGCTACTTACTGCGTTCTCTTGACATTTTATGAAACTAGTTCCCTATTAATATTGTTATGAAAGTAATGGAATGAAGTTTTAGAAACACGTATCATCACAGTAAGATTCAGTTCTAGAAAGGTTTATTTTAATGAAAAGTTTGAGAATCTCTGTGCGCGAGGCTGAGAGCACAAGGTGGGGCTGTCCTTGCTTCCAGAGGCTGTACACATGTTTCTTGTTCTTTATTATTTTTATTTACTATTATGTATATAATACATTTTATTTGACTCATTTCATATGGCTTTTCCCACTTAGCATAATTTCTTTCGTTCAGCATAACTTTGAGAGATTCATTGTGTCCCATGTATCAGTAGGTCACTACTCTCTGTTGTTGAGCAGTATCCACTGTATGACTTTTCCATGGTTTGCTTATCCATTCACTTATCAGTGGATATTTTGGCTTGTTTCTGGTTTTTGGCTAGTACAGATAAAGCTGCCATAAATATATGTCTGAGTCTTTGTATGGAACTGTGCATTCAGTTCTCCTGGGCTCAATCATGAAATAGGTGTTTATCCAGTTTTAGAAACAGAAGATTATACCATTTTATGGCTCCCAAGTTTTTACGTTTCCTCAAAGCTCTTCGTGGAAACACATCTTTCTTAGACTGCTTCCCGTATGCATTTCTCTGTAGTTTGGGGATGGGTTGCTGAGCATGTCACCGGAATGAGTAACCTCTGCTCTTCTCCTTAGCTGAACACCACCACGTCCAATGCCACAGCCAACAGTAGCATGCGACCTGCCTTTGGGGGGACAGTCTACCGCTCCCCAATGTCTCGACTTCCACCTTCTGGCAGCAAGGTTAGTAAGCTCTGTGTATAAGCATGACCCCAGCACCACCCCCGCCTGTTTATCCAGGGACCCCACCTACTTGTCCCAGTTTCTAAGATCCTTGGATTCAGTTATCATTGAGATGCTGAGAGTTGACAGGTGTAAGCTGGTCAATCTAAAAAACTGAATGAGAGAAAGAAGTGAATGGTCATGCTGAGCCCCACTGGTGTTATGGGGAGGCCCTGGGGTGGGATTGGGAAGCTGAAGAGAGGGGGTGGTCTCCATAGGCTCAGTCCAATGCCAGGTCTTCAGTGGCTGCTGAGCAAGGGCCTTGCACGTAGATTCCGGCCCTGACAGTGGGTCACTAGACAGTCAGGGACTCTTGCCGAAGGAGACAGGTGGGAGTCTGTGCTATCATGTGTTCAGGTTTTCAAGTATTTTACAGATGATGCTCAAGATAGGTGCTCTACAAATTATTAAGAGGTTTTTCCTTTCGTACCAGAAGCGCTGTGTAGGATTACAGACACATGAATAATATAATGATGGCATCAGTCTGTGTGTGGTCATTATATGGATAACATTGATATCTCCTTTCTCTACAGCCAGTCCTCACTTCTACCTGTTCAGGAAAAAAAAATCCCCGTGGTGGTCGGTATGGAGCCGACAAGGAGAACCTGGAGCTCAATGGCAGCTTGCTGAGCGGTGGGTACCCCTGCTCAGCCCCCCTCCAGCGCAACTTCAGCATTAATTCTGTTGCCAGCACGTATTCTGAGTTTGCGGTAATTGACCTTTTCTAATATCTGCCAGTCTCTGGGGAGCACACAGTTGGGGCAGTGGGTATCTTCCCAAGGGTGGCCAGGCTCGTAGTTAGGACAGCTTTTTGGAGGCTGAGAATCCCTTTCCTGCCTTGACCATGGCATGGGCTGGGGGTGGTTTCAGGGGTCATATAGGAAAGAAGTTGACAGCAGCAACTAGACATTCAACCTGGATCCTTCTGCTTAAGAAATACCATTCCCTGGCTGCAGGAGGTGGCCCTTCAATCACTGCCCTGGTGCTCTCTTGGTGGAGTTCTTGGTAATTATCTTAATTCTCTGTTCTTAGAAGGATCCGTCCCTCTCTGACAGCTCCACTGTTGGGCTTCAGGTCTGTATGGCAACCCCTGCATGTCCCATGTCCCTTTCTCAAACCAATCTGTCATCTATTGGCTTCATTCCCCTCCGGGCACAGGGCTACACTAACCAGTAATCTCAGCTGTGCTACCACAGGACCTTTGCACGAGAAAGCAGGGGTTCCGATGCAGACGGCATGAGTTATAACTGTGGCTTGTTCCCAGCATACTAACCTGATTAACAAGAACACTTGTTCAGACTTGAATTGGATTCTCAGCCCCACCTAAAGTCAGGCAAAGTTTTTGTATCATGTTATTTCACCACAGAAAACTGACCGTCCCTGATGGTGACATCAGAGGTCTCCCATGTGCTGGAAAGACTAGCGGCCCCATCGCCTGGGGAGGGAGCCCCAGCTGTGTGCTACTTGTAATGAGGCTCTTGGCCTGCGTGATGATTATTTCCTGGAGTATATGCCTTACTAACCCCTCAGGGTTGAGTGCCACCTTTCTGTCTAGTCTGAGCTGGCCACCACTCATTTCCATGCCTTTGCCTCTTTCTTCCACATTGAGCTGCGAAAGCATGTATGAGGCTGTGGAAGAAAGCCATTTTTCCAGAATGCTCTTCAGCTCCTAGTACCCTACTCCATATTTACCAACATTAACTGCACTGCCCTTTACTTAATGTGTGTTCTTTCTTCTCTCAGTATCTTCCTGTTGACGGGAGGTTGCCTTACTCTTGGGGGGGTGCTGAGTTACAGGCTAGGGTGCCCTCTTCTTGCTGCAGGGATGGAGAACGGCCCAGTTGTCTGTGGCTCTAGCTCCTTCGAGCACTGAAGTTCACTTCATATTCTGACACTTTTCAAATTACGTGCCTGGTGTTCTACCTATACAAGTGGGTCCACATCACTGGCCAGGTTTCTCTTCGGCTGGCTCAGTCCAGCCCCATTTCACCCACTTGGAGCTTAAATGTGTCTGCTTCCCTATAGATAAGCCGAAGGAGGCGCATATGGTTTTGGTTGCTGTGGGTGGTGAGCACCAGGCAGCACTGAGCCAGCCGACTAACCTCTACTAACACCTGTCCTTACTGTCGTCCATGCTTTGTCTTTCTCTCTGCCATGTGCTCCAGCATGAGATCAAATCACCAGCAGGTTACAGGCCCTCAGCCCCAGGGATTGGTAGATACGTGGCTTGGCCCGTTGTTTTATAAAAGGCTCAAACACCAAAACTTGACAACTCAAGAGTACTTTGTGAAGTATAAGGGATTCTCTCTGGGGTTTTAACAGAATGGGCTGGCTGAGGAGAGGGGTCACATCCTTAACCTGTGACTAATAGGATGGTGCTCAGAGGGCCTCACTGTTCCTAACCCAGCCTGCGCTGTGCACCTCTTCTGTGCCAGAGAAACAGCCCTCGGAGGCCTCATGCTGACACTTAACCCATGCTGACCAAGGTGGGGCATGCATGAGGGGAATATTGCCACTCACCTTGTTTGTTTTCCAACAGCGAGAACTTTCAAAGGCCTCCAAATCTGATGCTACTTCTCGAATCCTCAATTCAACCAACATCCACTCCTAAGAAGCCCTGACCAGACAGCTAGTGTGGCTTCCTGTGCCTAGACTGGACCTATTGTGAGGGGTGGCTTTCATTTCTCTGCATTCAGGTGGGCTTGAAATTCAACCCTGGAGAGGTTCCCTTACCACAGGCCTGACTGACTTACAGACGAAAGTCCGTCACAGCCCTAGTGGGTTCTTAGACACTTTGTTGGGGAGATCTAGAACTTTGCACATATCAATTGTGGGGAGTTTTTCCGCTGTAGCCTACACAGTGAGGCCCCTTCTTTAGCTACCCTGTTGGTCACTACGATTCTCCCCAGAGCACTATTATTTATGCCACGCCCCGCAGTCCCGCTTTCAGAGCACTAAATGGTTCAGAGGCTGCCCGGCGCGGGAGCCCTGGTGGTTTTAGACATGTTTATACTTGTCCTCTTTTAAATATAAATATATTAAGAATAAATAAAATTTTGTGTGTATTTACATTAAAAATAATATATCATGTTGTTTTCAAATTTCCCCAAATAAGGTTCTGGTTGGTTCAGTCTGTGGAAAGCAGAAATTCCTACTTGGAAGTGTGATTTATTTTTTTTTTAATAGTTTTGTGCACGTGTAAATGAAGAACATCTCAATCTGATAAAAAGGATTGTTTTAAATCTTTATTGATTTTATTTTATTATCCTCAACCAAGGATATTTTCACTGCTTTTCAGAGAGGAAGGGAGAGGGAGAGACAGTCATCCATGATGAGATCCTGACCAAATGCCTCCGGCACGCCCTCTAGTGGGGACCGAGGAGCCTGCAACCTGGGCATGTGGCCTGACCAGGAATCAGACTGATTCCTGGATTACAGGGCAGTGTGCAACCGCTGAGCCACACTGGCCGGGCTGTAACTACTGAGCATTCCTTTTACACCCTTGTCTACATCCATCAGCTCTTCTCTTTCTCCACAGCATACACATAGGTGTTCCAGGGCCCACAGCTCACAGCCGTCACGTGGAGCTGCTTATCTACAAAGTACTCCACACGGCAGGGCCGATCCCAGCTGGTCGTGTCCTTGTGGCCAAGCTGTCCGTATTTACCTGCAGTGACACAAGACCCTTGGCCATCCTCTCCCCTCCGAGAAGGAAAACCAGCCCCTGTCCCGGGCTCGAGCCGCAACACTTCTGGCGTCTACTGTGAATTCAGGAGACCAGCCTCCGGGCCAGCTGCCTCAGGTTCCTCGCTCCTGAGCCCAGCGCCAAAAAGTGTTTCACAAATGCTGGCTAAATACTCCCTTAAGACGAGCAGTTTTTCAGAAAGTACTGGTCGTCTCCGAGCTGAGCGTGCCTACACCTGTTCTAGACGGGAGTGCACACACCGCTCCTCAGTCCAGCCCTCCCACGTGCCAGCCTGGCTCACCACCTGCCCTCCTCCCAGCCCTTTTGTCCCTCTGGTTTAAGCATCACAGAAGCAAAGCCTGACATGACTTACCCCAGCCCCAGGTGTAGAGCTCCCCGGTTCCTGCAACCGAAAGGACAGTAAGGGGCTGTCACCAGGGCTGTCTGACAAGGCGTTTGTTGAGCTGACTGGCCCCCAGCCAGAGCCACACACTGTATATCATGATACTTGCTGGGCAGAGCACAACACAGTCTCGGTCTCTAATTTTTTAAATTCTCACCTGAGGATTTTTTTTTTTTTTTTGAGTGGGAGGGAGGGGGAGAGAAAGAGAAACACTGATGTGACACATTGATTGGTTGCCTCCCACTCGAACTCTGACCGGGACCGGGAATCAAACCTGAATCCCAGGTAGGTGCCCTTTACTGGGAATGGAACCCGAGACCCTTCAGCCCGCAGGCTGACGCTCTAACCACTGAGAACACGGTCCAGGGTTCAGTCTCTTTTTAACAACTGTCTAGCCACACGTGGGGTGATCAAGGATCCGGACTGAGAAAGTTCAGCTCCCTACATGCCAACTGCATCTCGTCCTCACTGAGCTTAGGTCTCAGCAGCTGGACTGGGCAGGCGCTGCTGTCAGGCGAGGAGGCGGCCGGGGACGCGTCTGTCCCTGTGCAGGCGCTGTCTCCAGAAAGAACCACCTTTGGAGCCTGGTGGCCACTGTGGCAGCCACAGGGAGACGGGCTCCGTTTGCTGCCTGAGGCCCAGCACACATCAAGACGCTTACAGTGGCAGTGTTTTAGGGGACACACCCTCTTCTGCAGCCACCAGCTGACTTCCTGCTCCACCCTGAGCCAGCCCACCAGGCCCCACTCACTCGTCACCACGGCCGTGTGCCGGGACCCACAGCTGGCTGTGACTGCGTCCGAGCCGAGGGGCAGATCCAGGAGCGCTGGGAAGGGCTGCACGGCTATGAAGGGGGCGGGGGCTCCCTCCTCAGCCCCGGCTGCTCTCTTGGCCCCAAGACCATCTTTGTTCAGCGCAGGGGCTTCAGAGAAGGGAGAGTGGTGATGGTAACAACGGCTGACGTTTAATTAATTAAAAAAGAAAAGGGTTGGGACTCACCTTCCCCTGTGCCTGTCTCTCTCTCCTCTGCCAGGCTCCTGCTGGGCAGGGCCAGCTGCCCTGACTCATTCCAGCCCCAGATATAAATGTCCCCAGTCTCTGAAAGAGATCAAGGGGCCCATTAAACATGCTGTGAACGCCCCTCTGCCTCCTAAGCCCCGATTCTTCCAAACTCCCCCCCCACACATACCCCCAACTCCCTGGGGACAACTGAGGCCTCCCCTGCCCAAGTCAGACTCCAGGGGGTGCCTCCTCCGGACCCAGCAGCCTCCTGTCTTAACAGGTTCCCTTCCCCCTAAAGTGCCTTCAGGTGACCCTTATGTTTCTTAATTTTGCGCAATGTTCCCACTGTACTCAGGAAATAAAAATTTGAGGTACACAGAGGTCAGGTGCCCTGCCCAAGGCCACAAGGGGCAGGTGACGACCTGAGCCCACTGAAGTCTGGCTTCAACCATCCCCGCTCCAACCATGACACCCAACTTAAGGCCTCAAACTCCGTCTGGACCCTAAGACCTGCCGCTGGGCTGCTCCCAGCGTCTGCTCCCTGAGCTGATGGGTGTGGGATGAGCCTGCAAGGCCGCCGGCTACACGCCCCGCCCCCCGAATCTGGAAGGGGAGGGGCCTGGGGGCCTGGAGGGGGCCCTCACTCACCGCTCACACACACCGAGTGCCAGCCGCCCGCCGCCACCTGGGCCACGGGCAGGCCCTGCAGCGCCTCCAGCAGCCTGGGCTCCGGCTCGGCCTCCAGCGTCCCGTGGCCCAGCTGTCCGTGCCTGAGCGAGGGGGCCCTGGTCAGCTCCGGGTCCCCGCGGGTCTCCCTCCCCTCCGTCCGCAATCACGCTC